AGATGTTTATCCCAGATAACCCAAAAACAAAAAACTGCTAAAAGATGTAGATGCAAAGAAAAAAAAAGGAAAATGAAAGGAAAAAAGCCAAACCGAGGAACTTTAATGGATTACAACTTTCGACATCATCACTAGATTCCTCTTCTTCTTTCACGTTTCCATCCGCCCGAAAAGAGCTTCCAAACAAATTCTCAGCTGAGATCATGTTTCCTAAATGCTATACCCGTTTAATTGCTAAATCGCGTTATAAAATTTACATCGATCGTAGAGAACGACGAAACAAGTCAAACAAGAACGATACTGATAAATGGTTACATCAGCAACGACAATCGAACAAACAAATAATACAGAGAGTATCCAGAGTGAGTTATCAAAATGATAATGATAAAGAACAAGAACAGAAAAAAGAGAAACAAAAAGCAAAAAAATACAAAAAGAAAAAAAAAGAACGAAGAAAACAGAACGACATAGGTCGTCGATCAGTGAAAGCATTGAATGGGATTCAAAGATAGGTGGGATAACTTAAGGCAGCGATCCGCGGGAAAACGAAGCATGGTTGAAAGAAGCATAAAAACGCTAAAACATCCAACATCAATATTGTTGTGTGCGTATGTGCATCGACCTGAAGCCGGTGCGCAAAATTTTTTTTCCATTCAATTGTTTACTTTGCAAGACAGAAAAGTAAATTAACCTTTTTGCAAAGTAGCCACTTAGCATATTAGTTCAATATGCTTGAAACAATAAAGCAATTAATAGCCTGGAAGGAAGGACGGCGATAACAGCACGCCAAAGAACAACAACCCCAAAACAACGAGGAGATAAAAATTTTTTTGAGATTAAATGTATAATAAAATGGTAATTTTAAAGTTCTGCTTTGAAACGACCGAAAAGGGCTTTAAGACAGCAAAGCGGCCTTTGTTTGTTCTATCGATTTTCACGTTCAGTAAACAATATCGCACAGTTGCTACGGAAAATCGAACTTCATAACTACAAATTGGGCGATACGGGATGAATTTTTTTCTTCACCTTCATCTTCATCACCAACACCGACACCTTCACTTCGTTCGGTTTTATCGCCTACAACAACTCTGTCCATGATCAGTTTTGCTGATGCCGCCATCCAACCAACATGGTCTGCTGCCCAGTGTTTCGCCGGAATCCCAGTTGGTTGCCGTAAGCTGTGGCATCGAACAAGCACATTTTGACTCTGACAAATGTTGCCTGCTGCCTCTTCAAACACTTCAAGATCAGAAGGATACAAAAGCTTTGTGCGCCGATGAGAAACGGTGTGCAGACCAACGAATGATTAGGTTAAGAAGTTTCGTTGCTCCTGTTACAGTTGCCGGTGTTATTGTTGCTCTTGCTAAAGATGGATGGGAGGTTACTGACATTTGATGCCTCAGAAATACAACTAACCAAAACAGCTGTGACAGTAAGAAGTTCACTGTAAAACAATAAAACAGGCATCGTCATCAACATCATCATCGTCGCCTATACGAAACGCTAAGCCGCTCCCTCTATCTCTGTATCTCTCTTACTCACCCTCAGTCACACTGAATGGATGTATAACAGTGGATACCTAAAATCCCGAAACTATTCACTACACCTAATGGAACTCAACTGTTGATGTTGATAATGCAGTAAAATTCACTTCCAGCCAATCTTTGAGTTGATTTCAGCATTTATGGCTGAGCACTGGAATTCAGCCACAAATAAACTTTGATATAGTAATAAAAAATTTGGTGAGAACAAAATGACAAAGTAAAAAAAAATGAAAGAAAAAAAAAGAAGAGAAAAAAATGACGCCAAAGTGGAGCATCAGTCCTTTAGGGAGAGGAAAATTAGGTGACGAGATGAAAATCGGATGGCAACGGAAAACATCGGATAGATGAACAAAGAACACTTTAACACCCTCTTCACACTATAGAACTTCAGTATTAGGTCACCCAGAGAAGTCCGGAGGATTTTTTTCAAATTGAACAGTTAAATCGGATGAGATGCATAAAAAAATAAATAAATAAAATGAAATTAAAGATTGATATTGCCAACAGATGGTACAGCAAACAAAGGGCTTAGCTCCATTGCCAATGCTCCCAAAAACAGAACCTACCAATACATTTGTTTGTTACTTTCCCAATAATAAATCTTTTTTCGTTGTTCAAAAAAAGGAATAGAAAAAAGTACTCCTGATGACTCCCAACCCTTTCAAACTACCATATTGGGACGGTATCAGTCAAGGGTTCTCAGCTGACATTTGGGCGCTGAAATCGGGGGGTGCATTTCAGTAAGGAAAAAAAGAAAAATGACCAAAAGAACTAGTGGAAATTTACTAAGAAAAATTTATTAAGAAATGTGAGACAAAAATTGATAATTTCAATGAAATAATACTGATATCAAGAAAGAACAAGAAGGAACAAATTTTTGTAAACAGCAGAATTTTGGTAAGAACATTACGCAAATAGCTGTGTTGCTCCAAGTAACCGGTTGTTAA